TTCTGTACTAAAATTCCATATTGTAACAAACAGCTTTCATCTAATTATATCTTGCTCAAGAATATATATGTTTTTCAACTCATCTTGTATGCTGGGTTATGATGTGTTGACTTTCTCATAAACAGGAGATGAAGTGAGAACACCAGATATGTCTATATTCATTTATCACAAGTTTTAAAATGATATTTAATAACTCAAATATAATATTATTGAGGCTTCAGTCTGAAAACTGTCAACACTGGCTCATCCTGATTAGTTTAAAGTATATTGAAGTATATTAGTTTACAGGTATATTAGTTTAAAGTTAACCTAAAAGAGTTTTCTTGATATACTCTCTTAAATATGAGGATATTCAACGTATACTTAAAATTAAAACAGTATTTGTTATTGCAGATCACAGCATATCAAAATCCCATAGCACTAAGCATTCTGGTGAACGGTAGCTTTAAAAACACTTTACATCATTACATATATGTCATGTCTGACGAACCTCATAGCCTTCTATGATGGGGTGACAGGCTGGCTGGACGAGGGGAGAGCCGTGGATGTTGTCTACCTTGACTTCAGCAAGGCTTTTGACACTGTCTCCCATAACATCCTCATACGGAAGCTCCAGGAGAGTGGACTAGACGAGTGCACGGTGCGGTGGATCGAGAGCTGGCTGGATGGCAGAGCTCAGAGGGTGGTGATAAATGGGGCCGAGTCCAGTTGGAGGCCTGTGGCCAGTGGTGTCCCCCAGGGGTCAGTGCTGGGCCCAGTGCTGTTCAACTTGTTTATCAATGACCTGGACGAGGGCACGGAATGCACCCTGAGCAAGTTTGCGGATGACACCAAGCTGGGTGGAGTGGCCGACACTCCGGAGGGCTGTGCTGCCATCCAGAGGGACCTGGACAGGCTGGAGAGTTGGGCAGAGAGGAACCTCATGAGGTTCAATAAGGACAAGTGCAGGGTCCTGCACCTGGGGAGGAATAACCCCAGGCATCAGTACAGACTAGGGGTCGACCTGCTGGAAAGCAGCTCCACGGAGAGGGACCTGGGAGTCCTGGTTGACACTAAGTTAACCATGAGTGAGCAGTGTGCCCTCGTGGCCAAGAAGGCCAATGGGATCCTGGCCTGCATCAGGAGGAGTGTTGCCAGCAGGTCAAGAGAGGTGATTCTGCCCCTCTGCTCAGCTCTGGTGAGGCCGCACCTGGAGTACTGTGTTCAGTTCTGGGCACCCCAGTATAGGAGGGACGTGGAGCTTCTCGAGAGGGTCCAGAGAAGGGCAACCAGGATGATTAAGGGAATGGAACATCTCTCGTATGAAGAGAGGCTGAGTGAGCTGGGCCTGTTTTCTCTGGAGAAGAGACGGCTCAGAGGGGATATGATTAATATGTATAAGTTCAGGAAGGGAGAATGCAGGGAGGAAGGGGACAAGCTGTTCTCACTGGTGGCCAGCGATAGGACGAGGGGTAATGGCCACAAGCTGAAGCACAAGAAGTTCCGTCTCCAGGTGAGGAGCAACTTCTTTACTGTTAGGGTGCCAGAGCAGTGGAACAGGCTGCCCAGGGAGGTTGTGGAGTCTCCTACTCTGGAGCTCTTCAAAACCCGCCTGGATGCCACCCTGTGCCACATGCTCTAGGTGTGCCTGCTTGAGCAGGAAGGTTGGACTAGATGATCTGTAGAGGTCCCTTCCAACCTTAAATATTCTGTGATTCTGTGATATATCAAATATTTTGATTATAAATTAATAAATAAACTTGCACACACACGCACATACTCATCCCTTCATAAAATTTTTAAAATGCTATCTCAAAATAAATCAGAAGCTAGTTATTTCCCCTTTAGCAAAAAAAAAAAAAAAAAAAAATGCTGATGGCTTCAGCACTTGTTAACGAGGCTCCTGTTTAAGTAGGAAACCAAGCCTATAATCCTCTGATATAATCAAGGATCAGTCCTCAAGTCTATAATTCCACACCTCAAAAGGCCAGGCCCCATCTCAGGCTTCCCTATACCCTGTCTTGCATTACTTTAATTAAATAACAGATTGATGGCTTTCACGCCACCAGCAATTCTCTTTGGGAAAAAAAGTGTAACCAACTACAATATCACCCCTCTTCCTCTCTCACAGTCTTCCTAATTTCAAGAGTATTGGATATAGTGGCTTAGTTCCAGACTTGCCCTTCTCTGATTTCCTCCAGCTCCTCTCAGCATCATCCGAGTTTTCCCACATCTCAGCACAAATCCACAGGGGCCAGTCTAGCCCTGGCCATCCCAGCAGCATTTACAGTTCTCTCCACCCCAGCTGCTCTTCCCCAATATCTCCATGCAGGGTTCTAGGCACAAGAACAACAGGAAACCTAAAGTGTGGATTTTAGAATACCCAACATGTTGGCTGAGGTTGTTTCCACTTATGACATAGCTTCAGTTTAAGGTGATCAAACACTGAGAATATGTTCTAGTAGATAAATGGAAAACTAGGTATTCACATGGAATGTATTCTCTGTGAAAGGTAGTGAGAAACAGAGATGAAAAGATGCTCATGTCTTCAATACAGCCAAGACTAATCTTTTCATTTTCACTTACCTTTTATTTATAAACTACAAAAGGGAAGGGGCATTGCAGCATTCACTTGAAAGCAATGTTAACAAGCCCTGACAACTTATTCAGAGTTACAGGCAAAGTCCTGATGCTGCACATTTATCCCATCTCAGGGATCCCAGGTGAAATCACAAGGTTATAGATCCACTTTGTCATAATGGAGCGTGAAACATAGTTTAAAACACAAATTGGGACTTACACTTTGGGATTTCTAAGTATAAGTAACACCCATGAGTGCTGTCCAGGGTTTACATTTCTTAAAAACACCTAAAAATATGTCTTTAAGTGGCACCCTCTGGAAATTATACCTCTAGGTTCATCTGGTCCAGCCCGGCAAAAGCCTGGCCTTTGATAAGGTTATGCAGGGCCATGTAAAGGCACACTTTAAGTATCTGGATTTGAACGTAAAAATAGTGTTAGTAATACTATATGTAGAGTTTTACTAATATGGTATCCATAGCCATCATTACATTAGTAAGGACCCACAAAACCTCAATAAAGAACATCTGAAGAAGCTCATTACTCAGCTGTCCCCTTAGGAAACAGCAAGCCTGGCCCTGGTTCCCAAAAAGCTGCCAGCTACTTAGGTGCTCCTTCCCCTCTGAGTCCTAATAAGACAGGCGACATGGCCCAGAAACCACATTTACAGATTTCAGAGAGCAAAGTCTAGACTTAAATGCCTTTCTTCTACTGTTTTGGCCAGGGTCCAGTTGCAGCTTAATTTTTTTCAGATATTTAAGATGAGTTCAGACAAAATTCATATAAGAGGTTCTAGGACTTTAGCACCTGGACTTGCTGCCTCCTAACTTGACCACCAGATCACTTCCATCTCTCAGTTTGACACTTAGGGCAACCAAAAAGAGAATTCAAGGTTTCATCTTCTCCAAGGTTTTAAATCGTCTCCATTGCCTCTCATTAATGAACGCTGCAGATGCCTCCTTCACTTGACCAGGTTCCCTTAGACATGCTAGGGAAGAAGGCCACTGTCTTGCAGCATTGGGCTGCCTGGGCGAGGGGGTCTCACACAGGAAAGATGCAGTGAGCCGATAAACACCCTCTCCTACGTTGCAAAGGGGATCCAGTGATCAAGAAAAGTGTTTGTGTTGTGCTCTATATTCTTGTGCACACAAATGGTGGAAGCCATTGCAGAGGTAGCACTTCCCACGTATTTACACCTTCATTCTTGAGCACACAAATGGTGGAAGTAATCTTGGAAAAAGAAGAATTTATCAGCTGGTTACCTCACTTATTTCCTCTTTTCAGTAAAGCTCCTATTTCTCTTTCTAGTTACAACTACTAAAAATGTTTCTTTCAGGGCCATCATGGTATTTCCCAGCCCCAGGAAATCACAGTATTATTTTAACCCTACTTTTTGTAATATGTCACAGGGGGAATTTAAATTGCCTGAACAAACGCTTGAATGGCACTTCCTACTAAAGCTTCAGGAGGACATTGCTATTGCAATTTAGGTGTCTCTACAACAAAGGCCAATGGCTTCATTTGCTGGTGTCAGGAAAAACCCCTCTCCATCCCTCACCACTTTACATCTCTTTAACCTTCTTCACCACGGGTCCTGATCTCCTGCTCACCACTGTCTGGCCTTTTCCCTTAAGTCGCATTAGCAAACCCCAAGAATGAAGCTTATGGTTCAAATACTGACCATTAAACCGAAAAAAAGAAAAAAAAAAAGAAGCGGTATAAGCACAATGCAATTAATTTTAATCCTGGTCCCAGGGTCCATGGGGAGCAAGCTCCAACCTCATTGACATTCCAGCCTTCCCCGTTCATTTCCCATACAGTCAATAAACGGAGCTGCGGATATTTGAGCGCGGTCCCTGCCGTGCCTTGCCCTTTCCCTAGAGCAAGGCTGCGAAGATAATGTTTTGTTTGCAAAATTCCTTCCGATATTTGGAATAAATGTGCTAAAGAGCTCTGAAACATTTACCTGGAGCTGTTGGCTATAAAGGTCTGGGCTTATTACTATGGCCTCTTAAATTGAAGCTGGAAACAAAATCATTTTTAATCATAAGAAGCAAGCACAAAACGGAGTTCAAGACAGCCACTTCCTTCCTAATCTAAGACTTTGAAATTCAGCCCTTCCAAAAGAAAGGCCTAATTTTTGGAGGCTGCTTATTTCTGGGAACAAATATTTAACTTAGAGTTTTAAATGTTTTAAAACAGAAGATTCCTGCTGAAAAGTCAAGCAGAATTTTCCTCCATCCTCCCGTGATGAGTGGCATGCATCACCAACCTGGCAAGCGTATTCATAGGAGTCCTGGAACTTAAGATGTCTGGGTTGTGCTGTGACTCATCGTGCGTTTGCAGAAATGCCCATTATTATTATTATCTACTCACATAAAACCATCCTGGGGAGTCTGTTCCAGTACAAATCTCTGCTCTGCCACACATTAATCACTTACCTGCCTCGTTACTCGGGCGAGGGAGCCAGATAGAAAGCATCGTGCGGTTGCTGCCAGACTGTTTGTTGCTTTCTTTCTTTACTACTATTACATTATTAGGTCCTGTGGGTATATCCACAACTGCTGGGACTTGAGGGGGACAGGCACTTTTTGAAGGGTGTTTAGTTCCCAAATAGCCCTCATCTGTTGTGTGCTTTTTAATTACATTATTTTGTATTATATCTGCACTCCAGCTTGCTCTAAGTGGAGTCTTGTTTTCTCCTAGGAGCTTTGACTTAAGTATCTCCTCTAATGGCTCTCCATTAGCTATGCCATCTACTCCATCTGCTGTTAATCTGGACGAACTGCAATTTATACGGAAGGACAGCGCTGATCTATGAACTTTTTGGTGTTTAATTTGAGGTTGGTCAATGCACACGTGGAGAGACTTGTCTAAGTAATAGATAGTACTTGGACACTGCTGGGAAAGCCGCAGGTGAACGCACGAGGTGAAGGACAGCGGTGCTGCTTCTCTCCGACTGCTGCCTCGCGGGACCTCGATGGTCTCTTCATTTGCAGAGTCAAAGAGCTGGTCTTGAGGTTTATCATGTAACCCTGAGCACGATTCAGAAACCTTCAAGCTGGTGATGCTGAGGTTTGCAGGAGACCCTCGGCTTGGAAGAGGGGTTCCGTGGGGAAGAGGTCCAGCCTCACTGGCCACAGGGCCACCAACTCGCCGAGCAGTCACGGTTATAGAGGTGAACCCTCTCTGCTGCCTTGGGCACCGGTCTTCCTCCGTGACACGAGAATCTGGATGAGCCACAACAGCATCCAAAGATGCTCGAGTTCCTGACCTGCTGGGAAGCCACGTGGATGTGCTGTGAATGTTGAGCAGACCAGGATCAGCCACAGTCCGCTGTGTCGGATCAGCACCCATGCCCATTGGCAAAGCAGGCCCATTTCCTTTGGACTTATCAGTCATCCGTGAGATGACCCTGGATGAAGCCAGGTTTGCATTTTGTGATGCCTGCAAATGAACAGATCGAAATCATCAACATATTCTATCATGATATATGTAACTGTTTCTCATTTGCCATCTATCATGCAGGACAGTTTTGTTCACGGCTTCTTGTTAGCTTTCTATTCATGCTAGCTCTTTTGTCATCTGGAAACATACATTATTAATAATCAGCTTTGAACTGCCTGGGCAAGCACTGCAAAAACTTGGTCACTCCAATGCTAAAATGTTAAAAAATATTACAAATTTGCATGTTATAATTGTCAGCAGTTAAGCCATTGCTGCAGTGGGGATTTGTGGCTGTTGCCTTTGCTTAAAAATGGATGTGTCAAAGGCAGACAGGACTTTCAGGCTCCAAACTACCGGAATTTTAAACGCATGTAAATGTATCACGGATCATTAGCGGGCTAGTACAGATGTGCCATCATGTGCTGCAGAGGGCATGGAGGTCACTGCTTCTGCACGTGATCATCAGTGACAAGCATGGAAGAACCTTCTCCATGGTCCCTCCCACAGCAGCGATTCTGGTTCCCAGTGGGGCTCTGGGCACAATTTCAATTCCTGAGTTCCCTCTTGCTCAACGTCACTTGTCCAGATGATGGTTACGTTAGTTGAATGCAATAGTCTAATCTAATTTTTTTTTTTCCGCTGAAAATTGGTGGATTAGGTTGCTGCAGCCCATGTTCTGGTGCTCATAGGAAAAAAAGCCCTCAAAATTGTCACCTCACTGATGAGGATCAGCACCATGAGGACCCAAGTCCACTGGAGCTCCTCCTTCATGTCAATACAAGGGATGAGGGCTTCATCTGCCCTCCTGATTTATGCTCAGCACCAAAGTTCTACAGAGCTGTTAAAAGTAGTACTCCATGAGAATTTTTTCCCTGTTAATTACTGCTATTTTGGTTAGTTACTGGCCTGCTGCTGTTCCTAGAAGCAGTTGTTTGCTCTCTGCTTTGGTGCTGCTCTGTGTCTTCCCTTTCCGCTTGCGCGTCTCAATCCTGGTGCTCTCCCTGCAGCTCTCCCTGGGTACCAGTCAGCAGGGACACCCCAAGCAGGAGGAGGGAGATGGAGAGTTTATTAGCGGGGTGAAATACCAGGTAAATTTTTATCAATTCTTTAAACCAGCTGCCTGCAGTTTTGACAATTCAATAATTTCACAGCCTGAGGGAAAGCATTTTCTCCTTCTCTGTTTCTTCCATGGTCCATAACAACATTTGCCTCATATTTTCTGCACTGTATTTACTTCCACCCACGGGTTTAAGACCTTTGCACAGCTTCCAAAACTCTTTCTTTCCCTGAGATTTTTTTGCAAGGCACAGAAGAAGAAGGTCCCTGGAAATAGTTTATTGTGCCTGAATCTCAAGTCCTCCATTACTTTATATGGCATTTATTTTTTAAGTGCTACACAGATAGAAAGCCCCTGCAAGAGTCTGAATGCATGCAGATTTTTTTTTCAGATCAGCTTTAAATAGCTTTAATATTTTGAGGAGTAATTTGCTTTTCCTTTTTATCCAGGTTGCTCCCTCCTCCCGATCCCTGATGAAGACATGGAGCTTTAAGGTTTGACCAGCTGATCCTGTGCTTTTGGGCATTTTTCAAGCTTCACTGCCTATTGTGATAAAATATGCACTTACACAAGGAAATTTAGGTAAACTGAAAACCTCAGACTTTATCTTGAGAGTATCTGAGATACTATACCAATATTTGAGAAACTACTCTGTTTAATTCCTGGGATACTTTCAAAAATCCTTTTTCCTCTCCACCAAGATAACATGCCTTTTTTTTCCCCACCAACAGAACTAAAGAATGGCTCTATTTTAGCTATCCTTTTATTTGGCGTTTCTGCTGCCAAAGCAGCAGAACCTAGAATCTAGCTAACCAAAACCAAGCCCAAAGGCAGAGCTCAGCACATAGCCTTGCTTTGTCCAACCTGCCTGCGCTCTGCTGACTGCTGTGCAAACGTTTATTATTTATTTTACCTTTGTGGAGCTGGAGTCTCTCCCCAGAGCATCCTCCCGCTGCGAGCCCGAGAGTATCCGTCGGCTGCAAGCGCCCCATTGCTTTTGCTTCACTGCTGGGGAAAAAGCCAGAGAGAACACAATAATATTTCCAGTATCCCACAGGAGGTCAATTATAAAAGGTGGGTTTAAAGGGAGTGCAAGTGGTGGGGAAGAGCTGCTGTAAATGGTCTGATTGCCCCGGGACCCGTGGGCTCATGTTTCCCCCCTTGGAGAGCACTGGTTTGGACAGGCTCACAGGGCACCCAGCTCTGACCCTGGATTCCCGGGTTTCCTTGCTATTGATCCCTGTGGCTTTAGGGCTGCGTGTGCTGGGACAGATGGGGGACGTGAGCTCCCAGCTAATTCACTTTCCTGTGGCCCACAGAGCCCCAGGGTGCACGGGAGAACGTAGCGGGGTCGGGTGCCACGAGACTGATTTCATTAGGAGCCAGTGACCTTCAAAGCCACTGAACTAAATGAATTTTAAATCATGTTCACAAACACCGTGATATCATAACATTTCTGTTTCAGTAACAACCATGACATCATCACATCGATCTCCGACTAGATGTTGTTTTCTTCGACTGTTGCTTTTGCTGCTGCGTTTTACAAAGAATTAATTTCCATATAACATGGGGTCTGGCACCGCACAACAGTGCATCGATACACATGCTGCCAGCAGCTCTGCCAGAAATTACATTACTTCCTATTCTGTAGTAAGTATCTGAAATTAATTTAGAAAAATTCTCTATGTGCAGTGCAATCTCCTGGCACTGATGGCTGTGGCTTTAGAGCAACAAGTTACACCCCTGGGAAGACCTTTGCCACAGAATTTGATAATATCTTATTAGCTTAATATTTATTATTAATACAGGAACACAAAACAACTCCTATCACAGGCTCCTCCCAAGTTTCTTTCTTACTGCCATGGACTTTGCTGTTGCAGCTTTGAGAGGTGCCAGTACTATGTTGCATACTCGTAACCAGCATAAGAGGTTTGCTCTTGTCATTGACTCACAGAAAGTCCTAAGTGACAGAGAAAATAGCTGGACACATTAGCTGCAATAAAAAGGAGGGGCAAATAGGAACCAGAGTGCAGGGAGAATGGAAGGCAAAAGTAACTGCTGGCAAAAAACACATGGAAGAAGCCCTTGCCTTTGGGGTCTGCTCCTTGTCTTGCTCTGCTCAGTAGTGAAAAGAAGGTGCTGATCTTTCAGGAAGGGTCAAAATGCACCTGTGTCCACAAGCCCTTGGACAGGGACAACAACTGAGTGATTTTCATGGAAAGGCTCTTTTCAGAGTGTCAAGATCTGTGAAGGCCTTCATGATGAAAAGCAGCTCCACATCCTGACTAACTTCTCTAAACAACTGAAGAGGGGACCACTTAAAAAAGACCGTAAAGAATTTGTTGATAGTGAATAAAAGACCTCAGAAAACTCAGAGGTTTGACAAACCAAGTGCATGTCATTAGAGAATTGGCATTAATTATCAGTGCTTTCCTCCAACAGTAGGAAAGCCACACTTACCTTGCATGGATTTGTGTGGCAAGAAGAGGTCAACACTGGCTTGGGAAAGCCAAGCCACGTGTGCAAGGAAACCTAGGAGGCTGGCTGAGCATAAAGTGACACCAGAAAGGCATGTTTTGCCAGATGGTCTTTCATGAATTTCATTCAAATGTGTTTAAGCACAAGAGAAAGACTGAATAGCACAGGGTCAAGCAAGAACGTGTTGTCAAGGTCCACACAGCACATTATATGTAGCATGCAAGATATTGTTATCAATGTGACTGCCTGCGACTATCCACAGAGAGACATTTCACACAGAGCTCCTTGGAAAAGAGCAGCTCATTCTTGCTTATTTACTTTAAGAAAGTAGCTGTTTCTATAGCAGTAGAGAGAGGAAGAAGTAAGATGGGAAGAAGAACAAGAAATATTTATGTCCTTTGCTAAATCATTCAAAGTGGAGTTTTGCACCACAGTTTGTACCATTATCTGGGGAAATGACATACTCATTTTGCTACAGAAATCCTATTGTTGGAAAATACTCAAACTTGGCAAGTCTTTTAAGCTAGTTTGCTGAGATAGATTAAATGACAGTGGAAGCAAAACCTCCGGTAATTTTCCTGATATTAAATATATTTTTGGAAGCTTCACATTTATTAACTCACGTCAGTAGAACAAACAAAAATAGCTTACAGAAAGTGCTTGAATCTCTGAAGCTGAAAGGAAGAGACTTTGGGGAGTGCAATGGTCTAGATGAGACTCGTGTTTGACACAGTACTCTCATGTATCGCACTTGCTGACAAATTACCATGTGCTGCAACCTCAGTTCCACCAGAAAAAACAGTATTTCCCTAGTGTGCAAGCATGGAAGAAATGGCATTTTGGGTGCTTTCCATTCCCATTAGAAACATATTGCTACCTGAGTCAAAATGCCAAGGACTGTCTGAGCCACTGCAGAGCTTCCCTTCCCACTGCTCACCAGCTTGGCAAGAGGGGAACAGGCATGGCAACTTCATCCCATTGCATCTCCACCCTTTTTACTTCTTTCTCCCGGAATACTTCATGCTGAGCCAAATGATATGCTCCTTGGCACGGCAGCTGGACATCCGGCTACAGAGCAGGGTTTTCCTAATTACAGAGTGCAGCTGGAACTGATTCTCCCGGTCTCAAGTGTCTCCGAGTTTGCCTTGGGCCAACTGGCAGCCGGCTCAGATGGTGATTCAGAAAACATGTGCTTGGAAATCAGCTTGCTAAAACACGGAGAAGTGGCAAAGGTGGACACGGGTGCAAAGCAGCAGCCTGCGAGTCTGGTGTGCACAGGGCAGCCCAGTTTGCAGCCAGCCAGGGTTTCTTACAACTTTTGAATGAAACTCGTGAAAACTATCCTCTTGTAACACTGCTTCACCGGGATTTGGGGTCTTTGCTGGATGCATCTTGATGAGATGGAGGAGCACAAGGAGTGGGGCTTCGATGGCAGTCACAGGGACAGATAACCAGGGCAGAGCTGGAACTGTGGTGAGCACCAGGTCTCCACCTCATCCTCACGGTTGGTCTCAAAAGATAATTTTCCCCCACTGCTCAGATGCTGAGAAATTTACAATGCCTGGCATCACATCTGATCTTTGCTCTGTGCTCAGATTACCATCAATAGCGTGGGACAGGCAGCCATGCCATCTCCCTCCACCGGGGCCTCCTCAAACAAGCTTCTCCAGAGGCCCCAAGAATCTCTCCTGCATAGAAATACATGGAAAACTCCTAGAAATACTAGAAATTGTCATGACCCTCACTTAGCTTCCTGGTCACATTCAACGGTGGACATCTACACTAAATCATCCACAGAAGGCAGACTGTGATTTACCATCCCAGGACCTCTGGGGACAGTCTGGCTCCCTTCCAGATTTGGGGCCTCAGGGCATCCTAGTGCTCATGCCAAGAGTGTTGGCTGCTGCTGACACCTGGACTTGCTCACCTCTTGGAACTTGGGGGCTAAATGACACCAATGGCTTGCTTGGAGGGTCCTATGCAAGGACTATGACCCAACTGGAAACCATTAAAAAAAATCTCTGGTTTTAAGTCTTTTTCTCCTGTTATGTATTTTTTTCCTTCTGTGAGCTAACTGCAGATAAACCATATCGATCAAAAAGACTGAAGAAATCCATGTATACATCATGCTGTTTAAAACACTGGATTTGTTTAAATTTTCTTGTGACTTACTTGACTCAAATACCTGAGGAACCCTCAAGGAAAGAAGCGTTGTCATTAAAGATTCACCTCTCTCCCTCTCAGCAGAGGCCGGGAAGGCTTGTATGCTGCTTCTCAGATCTGAAATGAGTCATCCGGAACTCCATCCGGACATTACGGATACATCTGAGATGAAAGGCAAGTCGGAATAAGCACCAGAACTAAATTCACTTCTGGTCTTCTTTGTATATCATAAAGAAACAGTAACATCAACAAACAAAAATCAGAGACCCTTTTTTTTGGTCAACCTTAAGCTGAAATTAAATAACCAACCTAAAGTCCATGTTCAAGCAGTGAAATAAAGAGGTTTTCTGGAATTAGGGGTGAGTGAAGGCTGACATCCCACCTTGGGGCTGAGTCCTTGCTGCTGCAGCACTGGGTGATACCTGCTGCTGAAGTCTGGGCTTGCTTGGTGGTGGAGGGAAACCCTGGCATGGTCCTTCAATGAGGTTGTCCGGAGCCATGGGACTTGCATTGTGCTTGGAGTGAGTTAGGAGCTGCAAGCAAGGGACACGCTGTGCTTACCATCAAGAGAGGACAGCAGAGGTGGAGTCCTCTTCACGTTACCCTTGCTGCTCCTCTAGTAGAAGAACCAAGCCCTGACTTGCAATGAGGTCAAAATGCAACAGGGATTTAAAGGTGGAGAAAGTGTCTGCCTGCATTTTTCTGGAAATTCTTATTGCAATTGAGGCAGCAAAACCAGCACAGCATGAAAAAGCACCTTGCTGCAAAGAAGGGTACCTGAACACACTTGCACACAGACAGCAGCATTTTAAGGCAGCTTCACCAGGCAGGCTTTGGAATCAGAGTAAGCAAACCAGCCTGAAATCACTGCTGCCTGAGCAGGATTCATTAGACAAACACAACAGAAAAATATTTTCCTAAGGTGTCAGGATGGATTTCCTTCCATTACAAGGAGCATCATGAGATTTGTTAACTGAATTATCTTTCCCTGCTTGCACACCTTGCCGCGGCAGCCGCCGCCTGCGGAGATGATGGCAGCATGTGCCACAGAGCAGACAAACGAGCGCGGGGCTGCTGCGGAAGAGCCAGCAGTCGTGCAGCTCGCTGTACTTCTGCCGGGAGAGGGGAGCTCCTCGGGGCTGCCAATAATTGCGCCACGGAACCTGTGCAGGAGGAGAACACAGTGTGCTTCGCTGGGCATCGCCCGGGTTCCTTATCTGCACTTGTGTTATCAAGAGTCATCTCCCTGGGAAATCGCCCCCAGCGTATCCATCACTGGGTCGATTCTTCAAGTTCTCATTTTCCCCATTCCCCCATTCTATTTTGCTTTTCTTTTCCATTTTCAGTGCCATGGGCAGGAGCAG